ATTTCAACATCATCCAGGCTCTGATCATTCGCTTCAGATAGTGAATTCAGTATTTAATTTAAAAGAGAAAATTATTGGATGAATAAATATCATCTTATTTCATATGTCCTTAACGGTTCTGTCCAAATGCAGTTTGAACACATGTGCCGTCGTCTTTCGGTTATCCCGTGTCTAATGTCACGTTGCAATGAATTGTGGGTAATTCCCATTTGTTCAGCAAATATTTAATTTTGTTGAAAAACATTTAAAAGCGTGATTTGAAATGATGACTAGGATTCAACAGTCCGTGGGGAGTCTGGGGATGTCCAACCATCACACCCTCAGGTGCTTTACCGGTTTCTCGTGGACATTTTAATACACACACGCTTCTACAGCCGTTGACTGAGGATATTAACTACAATTGATTGATTTGTGACATAAAAACCGTTTCTATGGTAACCCTGGAGGTAACCCTTTGTATTAACACTGACCTATTCACTTTACACAGAAAAAAAATAACATTAACGATGGTACATATAAACAAATTTATTACACACCTGGTTTAATTTATTACCCATTTACTTTAATTTTGCTGAAGGATGCCGTTTCGAAAAAACAAACTATTAAACCATTTATTTGACCATTACCTCTTGTCTCGTGAGGAAGGGGCCTGGAAGACGTTCAAATTGGGCAGTAAAAATACCTCGAATAAACCCCACAAGTGTACACATTTTGGCATCGTCAACGGGGACGTGATGTCTCGTTCCCCCATTTGTATTTATTCGATTTCAAGCCTTTCACACACACACAATCCTTTACCGGGTGACGTCAGCTAAATCCCAAAGAACAAGTGTTTTTCAGTCTATCGACTAATCCTATGGTCAGAAAAATACATATGACAAGTATAATATTTGTGTAAAGTATTCCCCGCCAACAGGTGTAAAATAAAATAAAACTTGTTCCAGCCTGCACTTGAAACACTGCTTCAGGCCCAAAGACCTGCTCGCATGCAAATTAGTCTCCATTCTCGTGAACGCTCTAAATCAGGAGGAAAGCTAGCGCGGGGGCGCGTAAAGACACAGAGGACATTCTGCCGAGGATTAAACGCTTCTGTCCCATCTCTCTTGGCGAGGACAGACGAGAGCCCCTCGGCCTCCGGCTGGAGGTGCAGGACGGTTGTCGGACCCGCGGGGCTCGTGAGACAGGGGACAATAACGGAGTCCATACGACACCTCGCTTCTCATAAAAACATGGCCTGAGGCGGGTCGCGCCCTCAGCGCGGCCTGTGAGGAGGTGTTGAGAGAAGGTCACACGTCCGGCACACAGACCCAGCATTCATCAGCTGATGGAGACAATGCAGCCTCCCTCGCAGCGCTCCACAACACGACGCTGACATAAACCGCTGCACCACCGTGTAAACCAAAGTTCTGGAGTAAATTGGGGAAATGTTCGACTTTTGGGTCCATAATCCTCAAAATATATCCATCCATAACTGTAACTTTATTAAAGAGGAGGGGACTGGGCGGCAACACTGGGTGTCACTGTAACACTTGAGGGATGGTTTGGATTGTTTGCATGAGCCAGGCTTCATATGCATCGTACCCAAGGTCGATGGAAGCTATAGGCAACATATTTCAGCGAATAGACAAGATCACCAAATAACTGAAACAAGTAAACCCAGCAGATTCCTTTGACGTAAACGTTCATTGTCCCTTGCGGAACATAAAGTGTCTAACTGTGCCCACAGACAACCACATTTCAAATAGTCTCAACGATCCCCTTCACAAGCGAAACACTCATTGAAGTTATAAAGGAACCGTCAACAACAACGGACTGCGACTATCAGCGACATTTTCAAAAGTAGAAACAAGTGAGCAGCTAAAGAAGGAAACCGATAGAAGTAGAAGGTTAGTAGAACAAAATAACTGTAACAATACAGCAATATACAAACATGAGCCAATACATCGTGAACCCAGAGAGACTTTGGACCTTGAAAACTCAAAACGTGCTGAAACTCAGCAAGTGAGCACAGCGACAACACAGCGAACACACACACACACACACACACACACACACACAAGGGAAGGGTTCAGTGGGCCTTATTGTTTCCAGCTGTTGGCTTGCTCGGTTAAAGCTGAAGGGAGGATCAGTGTAGAGACTGATCCTCCCGCCCGTTAGATACGTTCACATCGCAGATAAAAGGAACCGATATCGTCCTCACTGAACATGTAACGTGTGTAACTCGTGGTCGCACACTTCGTCGTCCACTCCACAAACCAGCGGCACCAGACGAAGCAACAGCAGAACACGATGAGTCAGCAAGTATGAGATACGTAACAATTTAGTGTGTGAAAGAAAGAAGTGAAATATTAATCAAATGAAAGTGATCTGAAAAGAAAGCATGAACAGAAGGCTCCTAAAAATAAATCAAACTTGAGTTTGTGTTGTTGTAGATTGCACAACATTTGTGCACTAAAACACATTTTACTAAGCAACCACAATGTGTCATTAGCGAACACACACACACACACACACACACACACACACACACACACACACACACACTTCTCTGGATCGCTGCCTACTAAGATGCAAAGCAAAGGAGGACTGAGGAGACCTGCTGTCCTTCACTGTCACTAATTAAGTGGTTAAACAAGCGACACCTTCCTACCACTTATTTCGACCCTCCTCAATGACTTGAGGATTGTGTAATTGTCAATAACACAGATTGTGTTATTGTGTTGTGTTATAACCTTGACTTTGCTTTGGACACAATGCACGCGTGTTAAACGCGTGTGACTTAGTAGGCAGAGCAGACACACTAATGCAACAATGAGATTTAATATGCAATTCATCCCAAATCAGTCGACTCCTTCACTTCACTGTTATTAGTCTCTCCACACATCTGGTGCTTCACAGTAAAAGCTTGGTGCTCATTGTTGAGAACATTTCTGGCTCAATGGGATCGTTACTGGTCAGTAGGTGGGATTATTTGGGTGTTTTGTAGGTTGGGCTGGTTTGTACTAGTTATGCGGAGGATGGATCCTCTAAAAACCTGTTTCCAAATTCTCCAGAAATGTGTCCTTTCTTGTTTCTCTCTCTGAGTCCGAGTCCAGTCCTCTCTGCAGGACACTGAAGCGAGGGTTTTGGGCGCGTTTCTTGCTCCGCAGCGTCTGTTATCGGGGCTCAATCGCCAGCACGTTCCTCTCTTTCCGTCGGCGGTCTCTGCTTTTTCTACTCGGCACGAGTGTTGCTTCGGTCAAACGCGAGCGGACAACGTGTCCTCCGCCGTGTTACGACATCTCGCCACCGCCCCGCCTGGAAGGTGAAGCGGAACGGACGGATGTGAAGGTTCAGAACGCGAAGCAGATGAAGCGAGAGGGACGCCCTCGCTTCACTTCCTGGTTGGTTATCGGACGCGTCATGACGCCGGAAATGACGCGAATCGTTGACGTTGATACGTCTCTATGGCCCAATCAAATGGGCCATAGAGACGACCGAGACCAAGTATTGATTTCAAACTTTTTACTCTCTGATTTGAACATCTTTCGGGTTCTATCCTCAGAAACCAGTAAAACGTTATTTAAAATAACCTCTCATTTTCGGTCAAAATTGCTTCGGTTACATTTTTTTTAATTTAATGAATACATTCATAAATATTTTCTGATTAAAGTGAAAAGTCTGCGAGTCTTTTCAATCTGGATCCATAATTGTATCTATGAGACAATCATTCTGAATTTTAGTCTGTGGTTTAGAGTAATTGATTCAATTAGACAAATTATGTATTGAAAGGTGATGTCACGAAGAAAGTCCCAGTTAATGCCTGTTATTCCATAGAAGGTTGACACATTACGTTACCTCATCACAGAAATTACTTCACACTAATTCAACAAAAGCAGGTTTACCGTTCACGGTTTGCTTCATTTTAAAATATAGTAAAAAAACAACAACAAATATGGTGCAGGATTTTATGCTCGTTTAGCGACCTGGTGCCACGTGCTGCCACTGTTAGTAGGAATGTGAAGGGTAACAATAGTATAATTTATAGTATCATGACTACTGGTTGTCACTTTCCATCCTCTCTGTGATGCTTTTGTGAATCCCAAACAAACCCACTTGTTTGGTTCTTCCCAGTGGGGTAAGGTTGACGTTACTCAAGTATTTGTACTTAAGTATTTCATTTCCTCTACCATTGCAATGGAAATATTTCTAATGTTACTCTACTACTTTGATTTAATACCTTCAAGTATTGTATACCTTGTATACAATACTTGTACCTTGTATACCTTGTATACCACGCAGGGTTAGAGAAGGTGTGCTGGGAAGCACAAGGTTGGTGGTTCGATTCCAGGCTGCCCCATGTTCCATGTCGAAGTGTCCCTGAGCAAGACACCTAACCCCTAATTGTTCCCCGGGCAAAAATGTGAAAAAGCCACGGGTTTAAAGTGTAATGTAAGTCGCTTTGGATAAAAGCGTCTGCTAAATGACCTGTAACGTAACGTAAAGTAGTTTGCAATCCTATTTTATAAAATAACCATACATTTGTAGCGTTCCTGTCCCATGAGAAGCATAATAATCTCTTCAGCTCAGAAAAACTTTCCTCAATGTGGACTAAAGTGTAGTACTCAAATGAATGTAGTCTTCTTAGTCATATTCATTCATTCATTTAAAAGAAGAACAACAACGCCCTGGTTGGACGGATATACGCATGCGCACACCGGCTCTTCCGTTTTACAGTGTGTGAACTATCTTGGAAACATCCGTATCATCTTTGATCACCTAAAGACTCGGGGAGAATAAACGAGTATACTGTTGATTATTTACGCATGTGCGTCTTCATGCGCCTAAAGTCGCCGCTCTCCAACGACGCGCACGTCCCGGCTTTGCTTTGGGTGCGTTTCACCGGCCAACTGTTAAAACCGACATGCACTTTAGCATCGTGCACGCTCCCCAAAAACGGTTGCGCAATGCGACTGCGTGGACTGAAGCAAGCAGAGGTGAAACGGTTGACTTGAACTCACCGGCTGATCCACCGGCGATGATCTGGTGAGAAGCTTCCCGCAGCATGCCGCGCGGCTCCCTGGCTGTCATGTTTCCTCAACTCTTCCCTGTCACAACAAACGCACGTAGGAAACACGTCACGTGGAAGCCTGTGGGGTTATTTTCTTTGCACCCGAGCGTGGGTTCGTATGTCAAAAGCCCGCTGTGCAGCGTGCTGCAGCCCCTCCGGCACCTACCAGTGGGTGTCCCGCGCGGTGGTGGTGGTGGTGGTGGTGGGGGGGGGGCGGTTCTCTTATCTCGTCCCGCAGCCTTCGGTGGAGTTTCTGCTGGAGAGTTTCTGCACGCAGGAGAACACGTAGCCGCGAGTGCTCTCGCCGCGAGGCTGAAACATGGACTCAATTATCAGCACACCCACACAAACACGAAGGGAGGGGAGGGGGGGGAGATAGAAACCTACTGTTTTAAATCGACCCTCCCATTGCCTCCCAGCCGAGGAGGCTGACCGGTGTAACGCTGGATGGACCCTGAACGCGTTCTGGAGATCAATGTGAGGGCAAACAAACAATCACAATAAGTGCTTACAAGGTCATTGGCTGCAAGGGTGGAACCATGGTTTACATTGGGGGGCATATTTTCTGCTGTACAGATTGGTGTTTTCTCAATACTGTGGGGGGACACGACCCCCCAAATGTACCTTTACTGCTAAGCTGACTGTACTCATTAAGGTGAAGGGTATTATTTTGATATTGATATTTATGGTTGTATTTAGGTTGAAGCTGGAGCTGAAACTGTCTGAATTGATACTCCACCCAAAATGTATCTTATGACAAAAAACAGCTTTAAGGATTTTCTTACTGAAACTGTCTGAATTTAGAATGTGAGATGTAGTTTGCAGGTCTGGACTAAGCATTATTTTCATTACTGATGTTCGGATGAACCGGTTAAATAGTTGTTGTATCCAATCAGTAAATAGTGTTCTGATGGCCCAGAGTCCAAGGGGACGTCGGGAAATTGATCTTTTTTTTTTTTCAACAACTAGTTTTAAACCCAAAGACATCCAGATTGCAATCACTTCAAACAGGAATTGAGCAGACGATCCTTCTAGTGACTTGATGACTATCAAAATCATTGACAACTAATCAACTCGTTGATTCATTTCCAAAAGCTAATAAGTGTTCAACTTAAACAGATAAAAAACTACAACCATCTGAATATTGACTTTATATGGAACTGGTATTTGACCTTGTCGTCAGGTGTCCCTAAGCTTACGTACGGTACGAGACCCCCCACGTACACCAGAAACAAACATTGCCCCCCCCCCCCTCCAGATCATGCCGTGTGCCATGTTTCAAAGATACTTTAGCAGTCACACGTGGTGGCAGAGAGGTATGAAGTCGGAGTGTCCCTCCTGTAAGACGGCCATGACAGAAGGACATGCTGTACTTTGACATGTGACCCCACAAACGTCTCATATAAAAGTTTTCGTTTTCTAAATAAATAAAAAAACTTCCATCCAACAACAGTGGAATCTTTTACCCAAAATTAAATGTGATTTAAACCTTTTAAAGCATGTGGCCTGAGCCTTCTGCTGCACTACGGGAAAATCATTTTCTTTCTTGATGAGCAACGAAGGCATGCCAAGATCTAGCAGCGGGTCGTATAACGAGCATTTCATTTAGTAAAAGAGGTTCAGACCAACTGTAAACATGTTGCATTCACAGCATGTATTTATTACCACTTTGACCCCGTTTGGATAAGAATAAGCAGAACAACCTCCGCTCCCGGCTGAACAAGCGGCACAGACTGCAGCGTAGTTCATGGATGTGTTGGATGACAGACGAAGGTTCATAGCGGAGAAAACAGCGTTCTTCTTTCCCAAGAGGAGCTTTTTACTGAAGTATGAATTGTGTCACTGTTGCACGAGTCCTTTGTTTCCTGAATAGATTACAGGCAAAGTGTGTGTAGTGATTCAAAATTTAAAGGACTACAAAAAACACTTTGTTGTATCAGCGAATACCAGAAACTCCTCTGGGCTTTTAAATGAGATTCATGCCAGTTGAATCAATATTTCAGCAGTGGTGAAACAATTATTCAGTAAAAGTAGTATTACCGCAGCATAATAACTTGTTGGAATGTAGATGCATTATTTGTAAAGTAGAAGCACTTATGATGCATTATTCATTTTGAACTTTTAACTAAAAAGCTCTGCTGTGGAACATAATTACATTTAATGAGAATGTATGTAATATCCAAGTTCGTATTAGTGATCAGTTATCTGAAGAAAAAAAAGATGAATATCATGACATGGATTAACTACAAACTGCCGAAGCTGCATGTTGAAATTTGAGTTGTGGATCTTTATTTCTATGTATTCTATGTGTATAAAAACACATGTACTTTGAAACAGTTAAAAAGAATGAATTAAGATATAAGCAAACAGGAACACGGGATTATCTTGTTTATTCTATTATCACACACAAACATAGAAACACATAAAGCCCTTCTAGTACAGATAACAGGACTATTCTTCTTAAATTACTCTGCTACATGAAGGAAACCAAATTTTCTCATATAAACGTGACCGTTGAGGAAATCTTTTTAAGCAAAAACAGTTTAAGGAGTAAAAAATAAATAACTAATATGGAGTAAGAAAGTGGTTTAATCCAAAACAGTTCAAGTCCTTTTCATTTCATTTGTCCTCTTCTTTTGAACGTTGATGATCAGAACACTGGAGGACCTGATTGGGAACACGCTGTATTTCTAATGCTGCCAGATGACCATCAGCAAGCTGCTGCTCAGAAACACGCCCCAGTTATGGGCCTTTCATACCCACCGGGTTATTGTGTACCTCATCACTTCAATAGCACATCACAATTGCTTGTTTTTTATTTCACTTGCATTATGGTAGATAAGTGAGCTAAATGACAAAAACAAAAAAATAACAGTAGAAAAGGATTACAAAGGGCTTCTTAGATATGGCCTTAATTTATATGGGGTAAAAACTGCCCCCGTTTTTGTAGAAGAAATTTGTATCATCATGTACCAAATTGTATCATCTTTTGCATGACATTTTTTACGCAACCTAATGGTTGAGATGCTTGCAGATATTTGCTCTATTTCTGAAAGCCTCACTGATATCAACGTTTAAGCTAAGAACTTTTATTTTGTGGTGAATTTAGCGCTCCTTGTGGACAAAAGAGTCAGAGACCTGATTTCCCTGCAGCAGGGCTGGACAGTCCTCCCCGCTCAGGCTCCACAGCCCGACGCCTCGCACACAGGAAGACGGCGTCATAACAAGCCAACAGCTCCGCACAGCAACTTAAATCGCTTTAGCATTTGGACTTTCGTATTTTGTCGACTTTTGCATTTCCTAACGCGTTAGTGACCAAGCATTTCCTAATGTCGTTCACAAAATAATCATCCGATGAATCTAAAATGCAAATAGTTGTTGACTGCAGCTCTAAAGTAGAGCATTATTAGATCGAGAGAACATCGCATGCCACAGCGCTCCGTTTCGAACTGCACAGTACCTCATGAAGGTAAGGAAGTGAACGTCATGCACTGTTAAGGATGATCATTTATGGTATAAAAGGCAGCGACACACTACACAGTATTCCAGCTCGCAGGAGGCAACAGCTTCTGACAGAAAAAAGGTCTGAAAAACTTTGAATGTTAGAATGAAGGCGAGTAACGGCAGCAGGCTGAGTGGATCCCACTGCGGGTAGGAAACAGGTCCTCGGACCCCTCATGCATTTCAAAAACGACTCCCAACATTCAAATCTTAAATCTAAATAAACACTCCGGCTGTAGTAATAAATAGTCTGATAAGACCTGATCCTGGAATCTCTAAATCTGAATCTCATAAAAATAAAAAGCGTCTCCCTGTCGTCTCCTCCATATGAAAGCGCACTGAGGGCGGCGTAGCGTCCAGCCCCCCCTGTGGTTAAATGGCGTGTAGTCCTGCGGCGGTCACAGGAGCGTGGGGCCCTTGGTGGTGTAGCTCATGGCAGGGAAGTGCTTGCTGTCCACGTCCCAGTGGCCGAGGGGCTGCGGCGAGGCGGGCGGGAGGCTGTGGTTCCAGTGGTTGATGTAGCTGGCCATGAGCAGAGTCAGCTCCAGGATCTGAGAGCGGAGGGGACCAGGCTTTAACGGATTCTAACCCGGGCGTTTTAATACACAAAATCTTTTTACAATGTACTTTTCAAGCAGCTGAACTTGGAATAGTGCTTCTAGTGGCAGAAGCCGATGGTTTGAACCGTCCACTTTTAGTTCAGCCTTTGAACACTTTGATCTAAACTAACTAGACTCCTTCTTTTAAACCATAATTCTTGGACATCTCATTTTAACAAGCTCTAAATTGCAATAATGTGCTGATAAGGTTCCAGTTGACTGTCTTCTGGTCTAATCCTGATTCTTCCTTCTCTCAGATGAGTTCAGTTATTTCCTGGTTTATTTTTATTGTACGGACATTGTGTGGTTTTATTTGTTGCTTCATCCATTGTTATCCAGGTTTAACTCTTATTATTACTGATTTTTCTGCTTTGTCAGCTCTTTGCAAACTCAGTTTTTGAAACTGGTGCTACATTACCAAAGTTTTTTACCAAACAGTCTGCCTGGAGGCTTGTGGGCCCTGAACGGGCGATGTGATGCCTCTCGTCTAGTCGCGTACGCGTGACCCTTACCTTTGGTTTGGCCATCGCAAAGAGCAGCTTCTCCACGCTCTTCTTCCCGAGTCCAGGCTCCCTCTGCTGGCTCGTCACCACCATGAAATCATCCCGGCAGCCGCCGAAGGTAATCACAGAGCTGTAGGAGTGTGTGACCAGCGTGTGCTGGAGAACAGACGCATTGCCAGCGTGAGATGTGCAGTGACATAAACAGGGAGCGTGTTACCATCTTATTGCCGGCCCCAAAATAGAGTGTGGAGTTCGTTTAAGGAAATTCTTCTGGTTAGGGCTTTTTTTTTTTTTTTTTTAAGGGTAAATTGAGTGTAAAGACGCGTGACATTACATCCAGCGACATCTTGTAATTTTCTCTTTGTTTTTTGCCCTCCCTGACTTTCACGAAAGCCAACGCCGCCCGCCGGAGAGTGAAACGGATCCACACGGGCCGCTGAAAATGACAGAGCTCGAGCTCGCGCGGTTCACATGTCGGAGCGGCTGCTCCTCAGGGTCCAGAACGGTTCAATCGGAGGCGTTTTATTTTCCTGTGGCTTTTCTGGTGTTTGAAACACGTCAAAATAAAAAACACACTGCAGACCAGCGGCCCTGCAGAGCTCCTTTATGAACTGAATGATGTTTCAAAATGTCTCTCGTTCCGTGTAACAACACAGGGCCGGTAGTGTTGGTCTGTCTGAAACTCACCATTGCGTAGTCCAGCACACATAATCCATCTTCATTGACTGCCAGCCACACCTGGCTCTGCTCAACGGGGGAGGGGGGCAGCGGCTGTGGACAGGAGAAACAAAGCGAGGTCGTATTGCAGGTGTGCAGTAAACACTGGTCCACCCTGGGCCTGAAAGCTTGATGGATTGGGACTGGAGGGCACGCTTGTTTTCAACAAGGCTTCGCATCAAGGACTGAATGTGCAAGTTATACAGAGTGTAACGTTACATGCAACAAAAAAAAGGATTGGACTTACTTTTGCGCTGAAGAGTTTGGCTCCAAATAGCGGCCACTTGCGAGCCACGGTCAGGTATATTCTCACACACTCAGGCGCGCTGCACCCACGCAGCATAGACCACTTGGTGGCCAGACGCTCCGCAAGATCTCTGAGAGGGGGGGGGGGGGGCATTGGTTCAAGTTAAAATCCCCCCTGACTCATTAAACACATCTATAATTTTAATAAAAAGCCTAAGTAGTGAGTAGTTATTTTGTTTGTACCTGAGCTGCTCTGAGCTGCAGTCTTGTTTGTATCGTTTGGGGTAGAAGCGCTCTAAGGCCTGCAGAAGAATGAGCTGAGATTTCGGTAGAGGAGAGCCGGTGGGAGAGGAGGAAGCCGGTCTCTCCAAGTCACCATGTTCCACCTGGAGGTAACATTAAAGAAGAAAGATAGAGGAGTTAAAAACGGCCGGCGGAAGGTATCTTCTGATCATATAAATTGACGTAACCTCTACAGACCTGTGCCATGAGGGCGGCCACCTCAAGAGCCAGCTCTTTGTTGACGGGGAAGTGGCCTTGCTGAACTTCGTCATTCAGCTGGTAGGCCAGCAGGAGGCGCTCTCGGTCCGTCTCTCCTTTCACCTGAGATCTGAAACACAACCTGTGCGTGCGCAAATAAAAAGAAAAGTCATCATGATTTCCTGTAATCATGCACACACACACACACACACACACACACACACATTAATGGACCATACGTATCACATCCGCATCCACTACTGTTTGATGCAAGTTTAGACAAGTGTTCCGTGACCACGTCACGACCGATAATGAGGTAATGTGTGTTTTTGCAGAAATCCTACCTGCTTTTGTATGTAAGACGCACTATCCGTGTCCCCTCATTTTTCCCAGGATGCAGCTCCTTTAGGGCCTGCTCCCACTTGGAAATGACATCACAGATCTGTCAAAAGAAAGACGAGTCAGCGTCCAGTCAGACGTGTAGTTATTATATATTGTATCTAAAGACACAAGTCTGCTCTAAAATGCCCCGCAGGCTTTTAGACAGACTTATAAATGTGATGTATTCACTTTCTTTGCCGGGCCGGTTAAACATGACGATTTCAGTTTCAGTAACCAGAATGAAAACAAAGTGGAAGCACCGCTTTTATATCATGATTGAGGGGAATTGTATTACAGAGTAAAGCTTTGGTTCGCTGGCCTGTGACTGCACACACACATCCAAAAGTCACCACAAGGGACAAACTTAATTTGTCAAAATAATCTCTAACTATCAACTGCTGATCCTCTAAAATATTCAGCAACACGAGACAAATGATAGGAATCAATGCACCACAAAAGCCTCGGATGTGTGGGGAGGTTTTCCTCCATCCACTTACGTTCAGTGACCCAGACTTTTACCTTGGCAGCCGGCTGCAGGCAGTGCTCCAGGTCCTTGCCAGACGGATCGTCGGTGAAGAGTGCAAACCCAGAGAGCTGAGGCTTCCTCAAGCCGATCCTCTGATTCAGCGTGTTGAGGAACTCTTCCACTGTGGTGGAGCCGTCGAAACCCACCACCTGCACGGGAACGAAAAGGAGACGTTCTCATTTGATGCGCGTCGGAAACATGAGCCAGCAGAGGTCGCCCTGTATTAGCCCAAACGGCGCCCCCTATTAGCGAGCAAAGTAACCGCAGCAGCAGATTAAAACTGCAGAGAGGAGTCGAGTCAGAAAACAGCCTTGTGTGAAAATAAAAAGTTGTACAGTTGCAGTGAGATGTAAATGTGATCTAGCAAGTCCAGTTTGTGAAATAGATCCTTGAGTTTGAGGACTCATCGGCGCCAAAAACAGGATGTTTGCAAACAGTGATTTTGTTATCAGGATAATGTCCCAGCAAACGAGGCTAAACTAAGAAACACAGCGTTCATGTTTTAAAAAGTAAATTGATTGCATAGATTAGATTAGAAAATCACAGCCCAAACATGTTTTGGGCTCCGGAGGTTACATTAAATATTGTCAACGCGTCTCCTCGCAATCGGCAGAAATGAGCTGATGCTGCTGTTCGTTTAGTTTGTTAGAGATTCTTTGATTTACTTGTAAAAAGGGGGAAAGAGTCTACAAGAGGTCAACAAGACACGATTACCAGGCAGCTGCAGCGCGGCTCACGGATTGTGTTTGCGTTTCAGGTAAGTCGGGGAAAAGACGAGCGAGTTGCGCTTTCAGTCTCACCTGGTAGGTGTTGTTCATGAAGTGCACCGGGATGCTGAAGGGCAGTGAATGGTGGTAGGGGTTCCTCAGCAGGATGGAGACGATCTCCATACGGGACGGTTTGGCCTCCCGCTCCCCGTTCTGCAGCGTTCGCTGCACAGACCTCTCACAGTACACTGCATACTTCCCCACCTCACTCCTGTGTGACCAGATAAGGGGATGGAAATGTAGGTAACGCACTCAGATCTGGTAGCAGTTACCATGGATAGAGTCACGCATCGGGCGTCTCACCTCGGGTCAGCGTTGCGCTGCAGGTACTGTCTTAGGTACCAAAGGAAATGTTGTTGAGGGAGGAACAGAGCCACACACAGAGACAACAGCTGCCAGCACTACGGGAAGAAAGAAGAAGTTTCATTTGTTTGTGTGTTTAACCACTTTCCCATTCACATGCATGGGTTTCGTCCTCCGTGTGCACCTGGCTGACCTGCGTGAGGGAGTAGTTATGTGGCGTTCGGCGGTTGGTCTGCTTGATCAGCTGACAGTACACCTCGTTCTGCAGCTCCGGGTGCGTCAGGCACACTTGCAATGCATTCTGGGCCAGCGAGGTGTGGTAGTCGACAGACGGGGACTCAACCAGCACGTTGATGAAGAGCTGACAGGACTGCAGAGAAGGACAGACGTCTCCTGCATTTCACTCCACTGCATTGCATAGTTAAATGTGTCTTAATCCAGATCATTAAAACCAAACAAAACCTAGAGTGAGGTCATTATTTGTATGTTTTTTTTATTTTAGCTTTCAACTCTGTGATTTTTCATCCCCAATTTGCAATCTTCTGTGTGAAATAATAGACGGTATACAAGAAGACGTCCAGGGGATTCGTCCCCTTTTTATGGATTTTTGTGACCCGTAAGGATGGGGTGGATTGTGAAGAGCGCTGAATACAACATTTATAAGGAATCACAATGGCCGCACATAACTTTCATGAACTAAAACACCCTTTGAAAAGGTTTTTAAAAATTGTAAGAGGACAACGTGGACAACTAGCCGATCTGCAGACACTGTGGTGGCGTCATTTCAGCCTAATTGTAGCCACGCACCCAAAGCATTCCTGGCTCGATGGTTTATTTTACTATAAACGAAACCATAATTTACAAAACTGAACATCATGCATTGAAGTAAACTGTCAAATCTGACTACCAGAGGACGCGTCCCCTTATGGCCATGAGAAAGAATGCCGCTTTAGGACACTTCCTCATAAGACTCAGTCTTCAACCATTTGAGAGTTTCATCAGATTCATTAAAACTTCAAAAGGCCTGAAGTAGAGCGTAGACTTGAACAGCGTGTGCCTTCCACTCATCCTGCTTCTTTGTGCGTTTGTGACCGTTTGTCAAGGCTAGCTGGTCAAAGAGAGGGCCGACCCATTCAACTTTCAATCCCTCAGTGCAGGGATTGTGGTGGAGGGGGCCTCTGGGTGGGCGCACTCAAGGGCCACGGGGCTGAAAAGAGAGGAAAAGGCTCTTCCTACAAGCCCCCGCTTCTGCTCTGCTCCCATTCCCTCCCCCCACACACACACACACACCTCGTGGCTTCCATTTCTATTGCTGCCACTCTGCGAAGGCCCTGACCCCCCCATGTCTCATCTCTTTACAGGGGTCGCCTTTCACACTGGCTGTAAACCAGAGGAATGGTTAGCCCCAATCAGAGCAGATAATCAAGGCCATTATCTCTCTTCCACACTTTTAATGAGATGGGGCCCTCATCCTCGGGCCTTTGATCTGGCGTAGAGGCAGGAGGGAAGCGGGGGGAAGAGGGTCGCGGAGCGTATCCAGGAGTGGGGAGGGATAACGGGAGGGACAAACTGGAGTCGGACGGGTGAAGCCCTGAACAGACCCTCGCAGCGAGGGCCACGCAGAAAAGGTCCGATTTGGGGAGAAAGGGATGAAAGGAAGTGGAATAGAGCTGGAGGGACGGAACGAGGGAGACTGACCTTGAAGAGCTTGATGGCTTCGGTCTGCAGAGCCTCAGAGGGCAGAGTGGTGAGAGGCGAGCGCAGACCCTCCTTACAGAAGCTCAAGGCCTCGCTCCTCCACAAAGCAGATTCTGGGAAAAGAGAAGTCGTGCACACACACACACACACACAACGCACTAGCAACCCACGCACACACACACACACAAGATAGAGTTTCAAAGCCACAATGACAACAGCTGACAGTTATTCACACTCAGTGCTACCGTCGTAAACACAGTCTGCAGGGTGGATTAAGGTTGTCAGACACAGTGGATCAAAATAACATGTCGCATGCTACCGAGTACATTTCTATTCACTTATAGGGCGACTTTGCAAGCCTGCAGCCTTTCAGTCAATGGTGCATCGACTGAGCTACAAGTACAGCTCCGCTGTCAACAAATAGTCAGCAGTGTTCATGTGCTCTGTGTCATCAGCCATAGCTCCTCCCACTGAGGGCACTGGGGTTACTGGAAGGTATTCTTTGTTAGGGACTTTTAAGCCAACACAAAATCGCTTTTAATAAAAAGGACTAAATCTGTCCTACTTTTCATTTGAATAAATATTCAAAAACAACTCAATACATTATTGCATGAGTGTTAGATAGATAAAAGCATTCTCAGTTTAAGTTAGACACTATTTTGTTTATTTGATTCAATTAAGATCATATATTCTCACACAATGTGGACTTATTTCCAACGTAGCTTGATTCCAGGCAGTTCAGGGAAGGTTTAAAACAGCAATCGGATCCAGTGCTGCTTTATTGTATCGGGCTGAATATTTGACAAAATAGGCAACTTTGATATGTAACTAATTACTTAACTTAACATAAGATTGCAAAGTGTGATATACAATTGAAAAAGCTTTTTTTTCCCCTTTGTGATGCTCAACACCGAGGGCAGTTTAGCTCAAAGTACATTTAGAGTCAAACACATTGCGTCCATTTTCTAATTACCACTAATCATAATGGAGTAACTGACGACACCTCTTTAGCAGAGGTTTCCTAACCTGGGTCTCCCTCTGCATCCAGGAGTTTACCGATGAGCTGCTCGCACTCTGTGCCCACTCTGAAGGTCGCACAGCTGCCCGCTGCCACAGTCAGGTGATACAGCCACGTGTCCTGTGTGGGAGAAAACACAGACACATGAACCCAGAATCTACGGAGAGACGAATAAAGCGCTGGCTACGTTCATTTGCCACATTACCTTCTCCTGCTTGGTGCCAATGAGCATGTAGGTGGGACTCTGGTCTCTTGGTTGGACCACCAGGGTGCAGTGGGAGGAGAGGAAACCTCGGCTGCCTGCCTCGTAGTCCTCGTCTGAATCGCAGGAACGGTCCACTTCCTTCACCGAGGCCTCGCGCATCTTCAGCTGACCCAGAGGCAACTGAGAGAAAGGATGTAAATCAGCAAACAAGTAGCCACAAACAGATGGGGATATCAGTACGAGCAACGAGAGTGTTCAATGACAGAGAAACTACACAATTTACATAATTGCACAGGCGTTTTCTGGCCTAAACAACATCTGTGAGCGCCTCTCCTCTCTTTGTGAAACGTTACAGGCATGAGTGGGAATGTTAGGTGAAGTCTCGGTAACCTTGTCTTCCTGATTACGATAGTAGGAGAACACTTTTCCAACAAGGGAACACCACACCAGCTTAGAGTGTCCATGTTTGACCTGAAACCACAAGACAACAGCATAGTAAGTATCAGGGCAAATTCCAAGACTTTTCTTAGAAAGTATTTCTTAGAAAATAGTGAATACAAGACTATAACTTGTGTTCTTTGGCTTTCAAAGGCTTGACTGATTCCCTGAATCTTTCATCTACCTAAACTTTATCAACTGTTAACAGTCCATCCTGCTGCTGCTGATAATCACACATTACTTTCAGATGGATTTGAATGGAAGGTGAATGGAGCGAACTTCGCTGAAGAATATCGTCAACACAAACCAGCTGTGCATCCTTCAAAGAGGGGTCACGGGGGTTAAGAGTCCCCGTCTGGACTGAGATCACGACATAACCAGCAGATCAAAGACGACGCTCAGGAAGGGATCTGGCGTTTGGTGAGAGAGCACGGGCTGTCACTCATCTGTCACAGACCCATCACACACACACCTGTCAGAAGTGGGGTTTTTTTTTTAACTCTAGCACCAGACGACAGGCCTTGGCGAAGGAAAGGGAGGAATTAGAGGGTCTGAAGGGGAAGGAGCTCTCAAGCATTCCAGCAGCTCGGCCCCACAGTCGTGTCCCAACGTGAAGGAGGTTTCCAAGGATCTGCTTCAGGTTGCTATCGGTCTCAAAGAGGAAGTTTTGCCTGAAAATGTGTGACATCCTCTTCAGGGGGGGAAGTCTGATCTAAACCTCTTGCATCTAACTGCTTCCCCTGACTGTAGTAGGGAAAGCACACGTTCAAAAGCTACAGAATTGCATCGTTTCAGTAAACATGGTAACGCTGTGTGTGAGACTCCAGATGTCACGGAGACGTTATTAGTTCGGTGGGCAGAAAAAAACAATATTAATAATCCATGAATAATTTAAGTGATCTACTTCAAGAAAATGTCTATTGTCACTTCTGTTTTTGGTTTGCTAACAGCAACAAATGGCCTAAGAAAGCATTGAGCATCATACTCCTGCAGTCGGGTAATTCATATATTTTAGGTTATTTTACTGATTGAGCATTTGTTTTTCTTCTACTTCTGTTTCCTGACCTTGGTAAGCCAACCCCTCACGGTGGGCTTGGCGGTGGTCTCCACGGTAACCGGGCTGCTGGCCTGGACTTTCAGTATGTTCTGCAGAACCCGGATCCACTCCTCCAGGATGTTGGGCGAGTCGGCGGTCAGATAGAACGTCTTCTTCTCGGTAATCAGCTGATTAGACGAAACGGGAGAAATACGGGAAAAATGCTAAGCCGGGCTCGACGGAGATAGCATCATTGTGTCAGAGGGGATGAGAATCAGCCGCCAAAGAGCCAGGAAAACATTCCAGGCCAATGCTATACCTGACGTCATTCTAAGCTGCTTCTCTGGTATGCAGAAGTAATGCTAGAGCATTACGGTGGTGCAGTAGCTGGTATAAAGGAGTAATAAATAATAGTAGAATAGTAGAAATAAATTATATTGTGCAGTACAAGGGATTCGCTCTTTGAATCCTTAATATGAAGCATGTTTTCCACTCACTTGAAAGGTCTGTGCTCCCTCTCCACGGACTATGCGGCAGGAGGAGTTCAGCTGAATCTGACCCTGAGGTTTCCTGATCACGTCACTCTGGGGAAAAAAACAACAACACAAGAATCTTCTTTTTTGTCAAAAATGATTGTCATAATTGCCATCACATGGTTTTGTCGCGGTGACGTGGATTTTTAAAAACTAAACAACCAACATCGCTGTGGATGAGCTGCAAGATGGTGCTCGTGCTGTCGGCTGAAGCTCCTCTTGCGCGGAAACACACAAACTTTGGAAATATTCGGGCAATGTTTTCTGTGCAGAGAGCAAAACCTTAGAAGGAAGCGGGCAGGCGGGCTCACACTTACGGGAGATTTGTAGTAGAGGATCTCTCCATTCCTCAGGATAAACCAGCGGCGCTTCCAGGCTTTCACCTGACTGCCCATCTTCAGCAGGTACCCCGACTTCTCCAGCATCTCCTAAACGAAACAAACATCCCGGGAGTCATTTAGAAACACAAAGAACACAGGCTTTGTCTACTGATTTCCTCATCATACAATCTTGTCAGTTGGCTGGTGTTTTGGTAGAATGACACCGGCACAGGACTCCACTCACCGGCCCGCTGCTCTCGCAGGAGTAGGAGGAGGTTCGCTGGACTTTATGTTCTGGTTCGGAGTAGTCGCTGTCCAGGGAGTAGGCGTCAGGAGGAATGGCGTAATCGCTCTCTGAGCTGATGGATGACATGGACACACCTGGGAAGAAGAGATGAGACCGACGGCTCTGACACGGGGAACCCAGACTCTCATCAGTGCGCTGCGCTGTTCAATGCTGAAGCCACATTCCTTTCTCCCACTTTAGTTAATGATTTCTTATGCATCCGCGGTACTTTCTGCACTTGTAATGCAGCTTTTGCAGGTGCGCGTGGTTCTGGCGCGCCGCCTACTCACACTTTACTTCTCCCAGTATGAATGATACACGATGGTTTTTGTTCTTACATTGACAAACCTCAGTATTACAACACATGGTGCTAACTTTAGGCTGGTAAAAACACTGGATCCAAAGTGTCATCATGATTTCCAGAAAGCCTGTCCTGAGTTTATGCCGTGTCAGAAGTGCGTGGGTTTCACTGTCCCGTGCGCACTATTACGTGTAATCCTCACCTCTCTTGACGGCCCGCGGGCTCCCAGGGACGCTGCCCTTCTTGTCCGGCAACAGGACGGAGGTCCGCAAACTGGCCAGAGAGCTGCTGTCGTCTTCGGACCCGGAGTCGTCATCAAGCAGAGGCACGCTGCTGATCTGAGTGGCTTTCTAATAAAACACACATTCGATTGAATGGAAAAAAAACAAGAAACATGATGACAGTTCAGGTGATGTAGATGCAGAAGTACAGAAGAGAAGTACGATTTGACTCACCCCTTTGAGTGTGGTATAGACTGGTACATTGATATTCCTGTAGATCAGCTGGGGGAACGGACCTGCCGCTGGGTATTGTGGAAAGTTTGACCCTGCAACAAACATGTATTAGAGTTTATCTACATGTGTATAGAGGGCCGGTGGTAACATTTATATTATTTATATTACTAATAGCTTTCATAAATGACAAAAAAAAGATAAAACTGACTCAAGAGCCTTTGCAATGTAAGTCACACAGAAATATAATTTAACTAACATTAGCCGCAATGAACGTGGTGCATTTCACTGCTTAGTTTGCTTATTTGAGAATGGAATACTGTGGTTTCTTTTATTTGTGATATTCTCCCGTTTTAAATTAAGCTGGAAAACACCCACTACTAGATCTGCCTTCAAATATAAACATTACATGATACATAATCTTTCCTATGTAATCTGAAGCAAGACCATATGCTTCTCAAGCACCGTGATATCCAATCTGCCTGAAATCTAAATGCGCCAACAACAGATGCACCTTAAGGAGCAAATCATGAGCGAAAGCCGAGTAGCTGAGTAAGCTATGACCTCCACCACAACAGCCGCTTGGCAGTCGGCTTCCTCTCCCTGGACGTCGAGAAATACAATAGTCAGAGAGTCGAACCCAGCGGCCTGCAGCCCGACAAAATGGACGGCGTCGGGACGGAGAGCAAAGCAGTAATTACGCCCAGACCCCGTCCGTCCTTTCATCGTAGCGGATTAAAAAGAAACCCCTCTAAATCTCACCACTGTTAAAAAAAACAAAAAACGAACAGGAAAGGAGAGCCCACACCTGCACAGGTGTGTGTGTGTGTGTGGAGCCCTCGGGCCGGAGGAAGTGCCATCAAAGGCAGCAATGACAGATTCTAAATCACCCGCAATCCTCGTCGGCAGCTTTAGCATCACCTGAGTGACACGTGACCTCACAGTGACGACCCGCCTCCTACACCAGCCAGGCGCCCGCGGACAGACGAGTGCCGCACACGCGGGGTTAGAGTGCAATGCCCTCTGCGACACAGTGAATAGAAATGGACGTGATAGAAGGAAAGTAGTTTGGGCGGCGGGCTCACCTCGTCCGGGGCCCCTGGCCGCGGGACCGGCCTCTGATACTCTCATTCCTGACTTTGCCACAGCGTAGATCCGACTCTCCTGCAGGGAGAACAAAACAAGGAATATTCCTCTTCACGAATTCACTCAAAGATTCATTACACACACACGCACCTTTAGAAAGATGCTGGCGTAGAAATCTTTGTTGACATCATTAAAAGAATAGTTTGACATTTTGAGAAATATCCCAAGTTGGCGTAACGTTACAAAAGAGGATCAACAAAGCCCAGCTGGTTAGCTTAGCTTAGCACAAAGACAAAATACAGGGACTCAGCAGGCTTCCCTCTGTCTAGAGAGAACACCTCTAAAGCTCACTAATTAACTGCTTTATGTCTTGTTTGTTTGATTTGTACAAGAGTAAAACGAATAAGCTTTCTGTTAACAGTGGGAGGAACTATTTCTTGTTGTTGGAACAATAACTTCACATCACACAAGTAGCTCACCATAAAATGGCCGACTGATTTTTACACTTGAGTTTGTTTGCGTGCAGATTCAACAAACCGGATAAAGCGAGTGAATACTGATCCCAGCTAACGGGGGGGAGGCCTCTCATACCCATGAGGGGAAGCGGTGTAACGGGGGCGTTGGTGGCTCCAGCTCCTCCGGGAGTCCCACAAAGGAGACGCCGTTGCGTCGCGGCTCCTCTGACCCCGACCCCTCCACCACGCCGTCCATGCTGTCGGGAAGCCCGTCGTCAATGTCGGTTTCCTCCACGACCTGCGAGAAGGGCGAGCTGGCCGCGCCCGTGCTCTTGAGCGTGGAGCAAGCGGAGGACGGGGGCACCATGTCGATGTTGACGTTGAGGTGGTGCAGCCGGTCCAGGCTGGGCTGCGGCTGGCTGCAGTGCTTCTTCACCAGCTGGATGCTGTCTCTGGGGGTGAGCGGAGTCCGGATTTTGGGGAGCGTCGTGCTGGTGCCCGACTGGTGAACTGGAGCGTTGGGGAAAGGGTTGTTAGTGGAGGGGGAGCGCGACAGGAGCGGGCTTTTGGGTGTTATCCTGAGGGACGGCTCCAGGGAGCTCGGCCCTTGGGCCATCTCGTAGGCAGAGGAGGAGGAGGAAGAGGAGGAGGACGAGTGGAGGCACTGGGAGCGGAACTTGCTGCTGAGCTCATCGGAGGAGTTGTCAGAGCAACCTGCCAGCGTCGCTGGACCCACTGGGAGCTCTGGTCCGCTTGTGGGAACTGGGCAGCCGGGTCCCTCCCTGCTCCGACCCTGAGAGAGGACATCATGGGCTCTAAGGTCTCCGAGAGAAATCCCCTTACTGGACTGTTCAGTAGCCCTCTTCACATCTGGGGAGACAAATAGTTCAATATGAGGACACCAAAAAAACAACAACAGTATCTTAATAATTCATAATAATTTAAAGATGACAATTAACTTACAGTGGGCAGGTCACCAAAATGACCATTTACTAACTATAAATGAAATAGATGTTTTCTTGCTAGAGCATTATTTAATGCAGGTATAATGATGAATGAAGTTATTTTGGAGAGTAAACATTAAACAAGGATTGAAAAAACAAAAGGTGTTAATATACTATTTAATGTTGTTACTTTGAAAACAATTAATTGCATTGCAGTACATTTAAGCAAATAGCTGCATTTCCCCCCCAGATGTTTCCACATGACTGACACTCAAATAATTAGCAGAATCTACAAATCCCACCATCCCAATAGTGTTGGAAATCATGCTGAATGCTGGCGAGGCTGGCAATGCGTCCAACATTGCCGGATCCGCCCCAGTCATCAGCCAGACTTGAGTCAAAGAACAAGCTCTTGGCTCCAAAAGGCTTCCTGCCTCCCATTCAAAGAGAACACAAATCAAGCTCACCTGTCTTGCTATTACAAGCGGCCCCTCGTGGCCCCGCCTGCCTCCAGCCGTCGTCTTGGGCAGGTGGAGTGCCGGGGCAGCTGGGAGGAAACAGCGGACTGCTGGGCACCTGGTGTGTGTCCATCATTGGGGAGGCGGCAGGAGATCCAGAGGATGCAGGTTTCTCTAAGAGAGCTGGAAAGACGTAATTCAGCTCTGAGAGTATTTTCTAGCGGATGCATTCCTTCCCTACTTGTCTACATAACCTTTGACTGCTGACAAAATACGGATGATACTATTGAAATATTAGAGTGCAATGCCCAAATATAGCAGTGCATAATTTAATGTAAATACAATCATTACATATGACTATTATTTATTAACTGTTACAACGTTTGTTTTTTGGGGATAAAACAATCCGCACCAAAAATACATTAAAGACATGAGAGCTTTCTGTTGGTTTTCACCTTGTAGTTTGTCCTGCAGCAACATTATCTGTTCTGTCTGCTTCAAGTTGGCCATTTTCAGCAGCTGGTTTTCCTGCTCCATCTGCAGCAAACCACATGCATGCATACATCTTAAATCACGACGGTACAACTGTAAAACAAATAATGTTTGAGTACCTGATATTGTGTGTTCATTTGAATTACAGTGATACATTTAATAAATAAGCATTTTAAAATGATGAACGCATAAACAGCTGTAGACGAGACACAATTATTCACAATTATCCCTTGTTGCCACGGGAGACGTCTCTCAGCAGAGGGAGTGTGAGTTTACCTCTTTTAGCTTAAAAGTGACCCAGTCTTTAATCTTGGCTGCCTTCTCCTCAATAATTTTTGCCTCCTGGGCTCTGACGAAGATCTGTAGTCAGGGAAGAGGGGGGGGATTATTTCAACCAACACTTTCTGAACATAAATGGACTTTTCTGGTCTTTTATCTGATGTTCTCTGTCCATATACCTGTTTTTCCAGCTGCACCTCTAATCTCTTTATCACAGCATCTTTTTCTTGAACCCGATTGGTCAAGTCTTGATACCTTCTGTAGGACGAGCTCTCCGTTTCGCTGGTTTGTATGTTTGCAGACTTCAGCTTTTCTTCCATGACGTGGATCTAAAAATGCACAATTAGCCGAGTGAGAAGAGAAAGCTTGAATTTGCACAGCCCGTTTTGTTTAGATGGGCAGCAGAAGGAAACACTCTTGCCAACGCTGACATGAGAAATCTGTCTAAGCCCTCAGGTATTTTCTTGTTTTAAGGAAAGGCCGCCATTAAATTACCACCAACAGAAAACACCTGGAAGAGCAGTAATGAGGGATGTGCGATGTTGGAAGTTTCCTATCCTTCGGTGAAGAACCATCAAAGGTCAACGCCTTCTTACTGGTTAAGAATTCAAAAAATCGTCTCACGTCATCCAACGGCGAGCCGGAAAGTTTACGCTTTACAAAAAACACATTTGCTGGTTTTCCTCCAGAGCCTTCAACCCCGGATCCCAACCTGTCCCAGCGAGTTTTTCTTTAAATACTTTGATAAGTCACTTGATTGAAAATATTTAAACGTACGGGGCATCTTGAAATCTTGCTGTGGCATTTATGTATATGTTCAAATTTGTTGATGAAAAGGACAGAATAAAAAGGTTGCCAATTTCTGAAAATGGTTGCCAGTGGCAACAGTCAGTGCCGAGCACTGATGCGTCTCTTGCCCATGTTGATCTTTAGCCGGTGATGTTGTTGAATCAACTTTTAATATTTCACAAGCTGTAAAACCTGTTTCTCCGCACTCTCCGCCCGCTGGTCGGCCTCGGTCACCCGCTGCTCCAGCTCCTGCATCTACAATACAGACAAAAGACTTTCATCAAAACGTCAAACATAAACTAGTCTTTGGGAGTAAATAAGGACAGAAAAGTCCCCACAGAGCAGAACAACAGCGAGACACATCAAACAATCTGCCACGAAAAGCCCCATTAGATCACCAAGGCAGACGACTACACAAACTCACAAACGCACACGCAGACACATTTGGTCCTCGTTGTGGAAAAATGGATATAATGGGAGGCTTTAACAAGGAGCTCATTCCTGATTATCAAACCCTTGCCGTCAAAATGAAAGTCGTCTGAGAGAGAAAGATGACAGTGTGTATTCTGCGAGGAGGAAAGATGATCGGAGGGGGACAGAGGCTGAACATCTTCTTACCGCTGGTCAAACAACAGCGCAACAGAAGAATTCTACTGTGCATGTGTGCACAAGCTTGCGTCACCCCTTGTGCAAGCATGCATGCTCATGCTTTTCAAAGGCAAACAACGTCGGTCCTGCAAGTATGCACACACTCCAAGTGCCCCCTTTCTCTGAGCAACACACACACACACACACACACACACACACACACAGGTCTCCCAGGACTTTTCTGAGGTCAGTGACCCAGGTGAAAGGAGAACAAACAAACTAATGGATTCACTCTGCTTGAGAGATGAATTCAAATTCCTCCCGTCATCTTTGTTTCCCCTCCCTTTTGTTTCTTATCCGTCTTTCTTCCTCGGTTCTCGTCGCCTCTGCAATAAGCCCCCCCCCCCCCACTCTCAGAAAACACCACTTCGCAGCGTTTGAATGTTTGGGCGCGGCCAGATCAACGGTCGCTGAAGCCCGAGCGCATGTGGATGGTTGGTGGTTGGGCGACTCCTCACCTCAAGGTCAAAAGCCTTCGTCGTGAGTCAAAGGCCCGACCGAGCTTCAGCCACGGAGCAAACAGCACTTTGACCTCCATTCAAAAACAATATGGGAGATGAAGGCAAACACTTCAGGTGAGTAGAAATTAAGAAGTCCCAATGTAGAAAAGAGAGGTCAGGAGGGAGGTAGTACACAGAATAACATCTTTAGCAGTACACAGGGGTTCAATTGGTACGGGGAGAATTTCTTCTCTTTCTACTTTATATCCTGTTTTAGTGTCCGACAGGATGTTTACACACAGCAAATTTCAGAGAGTTAAATTGACTCAATTTGAACTCTAAGCTGGTGTTTATATTGTCCCAATCTTGTCAGTGTTAAATCAACACTCAACTCAAGTGCTAACAATTTAACTTGGAATAAGTGTTAAATAGACTGTACATAGAGTTAAACCCAACATCAAGTGTGACACTTATCAAACCTACCAAGGAGTTAATTCACTGTTAAATACTCTCTATGTCGCCTCGTCCTTGACACTGGATAATGACCACAGTTCTTTTGTACAATTGACTCTGTAACAGTTGAATCAACTTTTTGCAGCGTGATTCCAACTCTGCACTTCAACACTATTGCCGAACACCGGAAAATGAACTGTGCAGGCAGTAAAGCTGTTGCCAAGAGATGAGATTCCGTCAAAAACAGTCAGTAAAAGGTTAGCACCGACATTTAGAACGTAACCAGGATAATACATTCTAACCGTATCTTCAAATTTACATTTGTACTTCTAGTAGCAGAGACTTTTTATTATTAAGTATACATTTAGTTATTTATCCAGATGAGCTATCCTAAGTGTTTATCCACTACTTTGGCCAACCACTCAACCAACAGCCTTTGACATTTCAAGTCCATTATTTGCAACTCTTCCAATCACTTTGTTTTGATTATTCTGTTACTGTTGGCTAACTATTACGAGCTAACTATATGAAATGTATTTGTTAACATTCTTTTGAACCATCAATTGAAAATGGCTTTTCTTCCATTGACACTTTTTTAATTATGTTTCATCCATTACTATTGCTACATTGAGCCTAATAGCTATTTTAAGCCGTTTAGGCTTCTTTGCTTGCTTGCTAACATATCTTTAGTAACTAAGTGCGAGACTGTGTATCTGTTTACAGCGGAGTCCAACTGTTGGGCAGGCGTGAGACAAATATGTCTGCAATCCAGCATCTGTCAGCCGCTGCTGCTGAGAGGGCTGAAAACGGACCAGGAGGGACTCGCGTTTCATCAAGTAGTAGTCCACAAGTCCCATGCTTTTATTGGGTTTCCTTTTTATTTGTATGTATTGCATTGATTACTTAATTATTGTGCCTTTTACAACTCATTTTTAAAGAATTTTCAGTAAGACGTTAATGCGTCGATTTGGTCTTTTTACGGGATTTACGACTGGAACAAAAATGTAGAATATCACCAGCCTCATCCTCTACTAAAGTTAAAATATAGTTGATATAATATTATAATACTGAGATGAGAGCTGGCTGTCGACAACTGATCATCACAAACTAAACAACTGTTGACTGAAAGTAATCCTGGAGGCTTGACTATTTAAATTCATTTGCCCTTTTCTCGCTTTACCGTCTGTTTTGTCCCATTAACTTGATCAGAATCCCAATGTGTGCTAACAACACTGACCACAAAGGGCATTATTTTAAACAGAGGAGGTGGTTTGAGGGTGAAATAGTATTTAATCATTAACGGTTGAGCACAGCTGGTCAGCAATGAAAACAGCTCAATCGTTAAATCCTAAAACCTGTTCAGCAGCTTGGAGGATGAGCACATAAAGCAAGAAAGAAGGAAGACACAGCTAGAGAAAGAGTTTGGTGATATTATGATGACTGAGTGATTATCAATTCAAACAACGTTAATCATTCATCAGATATGACGACAAATGACGGGAGGATCAGTGAGAAAGCTAACAAATAAACTCTAAAACACAAGAGAAAAATCCTAAAACCTCACAAGAAATCCAACTAACTAAAAATCGTCGCTTTTCCATTTAAGAGAAGCTGATGTAAACATTTTTATACACACAAATGAACCATTTGTTGTGTGACCTTTCTGCCGACGGAGTCAGACAGGAGGCCTTTTCTCTTCAAGACACGAGAAGCTTTTGGAGCAAATTTTTCTCCCGTGTCCGTATTAGATTATCTGACTGGTTGATTGCGTCTCCAATTGGTGGAAACAGATATATTGTCATAGTGTTTTTGTTAATATCCTCTTGCATTTCCTCATGCTCTTGACTTTGTCTGCATTTACATTTCCTCTAAACATACATGTAGTAGAAAATTCTCTCCCAGAAACCTTCCCAGTTCGCTTTTGTCTTTTTTTGTCCATCAGCTGACAGACGTTGTTTGTTTGTTTTCTAATCCACACTAAATACTCTTAGATGGAGAACTTGACCCTTTGTACTCACATCTCTCACTCACTTTGCCCTTGGGGGGGGGGGGGGGGTTGAAGGCCATGTCACAGCCCCCCACCTACACTATTTTCTTTTTTCTCTCCTTGTCTTCCCATCGCAAAAGTGGGTCATTCCGTAACACACTCCTAACTTGGCAAAAGGGGGAGATGAAGAGCGCAAAGCAGCCTTCCCAACAGGTAATAACATGCCGCCTTCGTAGTCCTCCAGCACCCCCCCCCCCCCCCCCCACCACCTTAAAAAGAACACCGTCAGCAGCACGGGGCTCCACTTAAACCTCGCTCAGCGCCGTGTGTGTTTATGTGTGTGTGACAGTGTGTATGCATGAGTGTTTATGAAAGGGGGGAAAGGAAACCGTGGGGATTAATTAGCCTGTTTTGTAGCCAAATGCCCAAAGAGAACGTTTCCCAATAAATACAGTGTATGCTGGATATGAATGAATCCTGGTTTAGACAGCTTTAACTACATTTTGGGCTTCAAAGCTGAGACGAAAAAGCTAAGATATACTTTCAAACACTGCGTTTACACAAGTGTACATGTATGAATTCCTGATAAGACCCAAGGCGACCACTGTAACTGTGTCTTTAGTGGTGGTTAAGGGATAAACTGGCATCATTTGATCATTTTCTATCCTGAAAAAAAGACCAGAACCAGAAATGCGTTCATGCAATCATTCCAACTACTGTATCATCACATGCTGACACACACTAAGCCCCAGAATCATTTGGTCTTTTGGCTTATTGTTGCAGATTAAGACACATGTGGTGGTCTAGTATCATCAGGCAGCCGGTCTGTGGACATGTTGCATATCGGCCTGGCGATGCAGAAGCGTCTGGGGTCGGCGGGTTGTATTTCTGAGGTTCTGGTGCAGCCAGCGGATATCTAGGCTACGGCTTCTTTTCCGTGCACTGGTTATTTTTACAGTTAGCAAAAGTTGGCGACCGATTCTACGTAGAAATGCAGAATCTGCGATGGGCAGATCCAAATTAACTACAGTCTTCATTCCCCATAAGTAGATTTAACTTTGCTTTTGTTTGCATTCATTCACAACTAATCGATCAATAGCGTCGTCCACAGCGGTTACTCCGGCTTGACTGGATATAGAGAAATACGAGGATTTCAGAGTTGTTTTTTTTCAGATCCGAAGTCTGATTCTGTCGGTTATATATTTTATCACGAGACGCATCCTTAAAAAAAATCCATATTCTTATTTTGTTCAAAGAGCTCAACAATAACTTCGACGAAGTCATTAACGGTGGCGATCTGACAGAAGGTGAGCGAGGACACAGCAGGGAGTCGTCCCGCTCTTATCGGACACATGGTTTAGGTTTGAATTGTAAACATCCTGTTGACAGACCGAGCGAACCGGTCAGAGATGATGCAGAAAAACTAAAAGCAGCTTCGAGCCATTTTTGTCCATAAAAGAACTGCCAACCGCAAAGCTGCAAAGCAAAACCACGTGGGAACCGTTCACCTTCATGACAGCCGATGGCGTTCAGAACCGTCCGGCCGCCAGGCTTCACAGCGGCAGCAACTATAGGAGCATTTGTCCGGCGGTCATTTCCCTTTAGCTGGAGCGGAAGCTCCAGAAGTGATGAGTTAGATGTTAAATATTCATCTTGGCTGAAAGTGCAGCCAGTCTCCGATGACACAGAATGAGTGTAGCAACTGTTTACCAAATAAACGGAGTAATCCCATCCGTCTTGAAGGCCAACATACGTACGGTCATCCGTCCGCTCCTGAGTTTCAAACGGATTCCCTCGCTTTGATTCCAGCTACAGCCTCCAGCTTTTGTTTGCCGTTTTGACTGGAAAACCACATTTCACATCTCCCTCGTGAGAGGAAGGAAAATCACATCTTGGCTGCTCTTCTTACTCAGAATTGAAAAGTTTTGAGGTAAATTATTTGTGTCGGGTTTGAGTTGCAGGTACTTCTAGTGAATCAATGATTTGGTTTCTAACGTTAGACAATTGAGACAACGTGTGAACTGTGGCGTCCCTCGTTTAAAAAGGCACCATGGTCTCCGAGTTTCAGTTCTAAGGCAAATCTTATTGATGTCTGCGAGTTTGGATCGAAGACGTATCCAATATTTTGTGCATATTCCCTGTGGTCCTTTTAGTCTGCTAGACAATAGTTACGCCTGGCAGGCACTGGGTGTACATATTTTGTAGGTGGAAATACTGTTTTAATACACAAAATGCTTGACTCTCCACCTGATACACACCTATGTTCCGACGGTGGACCCGTGGAGCTTCTGCATGCTCTACTAGTGACCACCAGGATTTCCCCTCTTACCTTCTCTGCCAGCAGCTCTCGGATTTTCCCGGCCTGGAGCCGGAACTTCAGCAGCTGCGTCTCCAGGGCGATGCAGCGCTTTTGCCAATCGACGCCGGCCGCGCTGACGTCACGGGACCCGCCGCCGCCGCCGATCTCCAGCACGTCGGCCATGCCGGCCTCTGCCTCCAGACTCGCACTGCAACACAGACAACACAAGTCCTACTTATAACTAATCCAGATGACTTTCTGTTCGGGATTATGATTATAAAGGTGGGAAAAAGGACACATCAGCTCGCACAGAGTAATCGTGGTACAGTATTTCCTGTCCAGCTCCTGCTGTGATTCACAGCATGACGGAGAAGTGATTCAACCTCTGTAAACCTCGCTGTTCACCGCACTTCCGCGTGATTCAGGGAGAAAACGCGGGCGAAGCAACGGTGGTTTCACGGTGACACGAGTTTAACGAAAGCTTCCTCTCACTTCATGTGCTGCTCCGTGACACGTAACCACGAGGAAGCACACACACACACACACACACACACACACACACACAATCATCTGAAACCAACACAGATTCTTTCTTTCTCTCTCTCCTCTTTTCGTCAGCGGTCGCTGCCCACACACACTGAACAAAACCCCAGCAGGGAGGCTCCGTGTCAGTGGGGGAGTTGGGTTCATGCGTGCCGGCTCCCAGGCCCGCCGGTTACAAAAGCAGGTCAGCGCTCTGCTTTTTGGCCAAATTACTTACTAACCCTCCCCCCCCCGGTCTCTCCCCACCCACAACTCCCTCGCCATGCAATCCCTTCTTAATTACAAGGCAAGAGTGAAACGGGATCCTGCGCAGCACAATAGTGTCTTTCTGCATGACAGTCCCATCACGGCTAGAGAGGAGGGGGCCCGTCAGCTCGCCCCGACAAAGAAAGGAGGAAAGAATGTGTGAGGATGAATGGGCCGAGTGCTGAATGCGAGAAACTGGGGCGCTGAGGTTATTTTTTTACCTGAGGAAGATCGACTAGTGCGCCGATACGCATTCACAAGAAGGTTAAGGCCCGACTGCGTGAACCCAATAAAAGTCTGGTTACCTTGAGGTGAAAGTAGCTATGACATACAGCTTTGGGGTTATAACTCACAAATGAAGTTGAAAGTGAGTTCAAAAAGAGTTTGAAGTTAAAAAGTTAAGCAGCCTTCACACAGACGGACTCAAAGTGCAGCCAGACAACGACAGAAGAAACGCAGACGTTCAAAGTCCAGCAACTATAACTCCACCACGGCGCTCCCTACAATTAGGGAGCTCATAAATACAGACTCAGCAAAGCAAATTACAGAAGTCTTGCATGTGGAGGTTTTGCCAGCCGACCGCTGTAGCCGGGCTGGACAGTCAAGGTTCATCTACCAACGTCTCGCTCTCTCTCTCTCTCTCTCTCTCTCTCGCGGGCCGACCGGCGCTATATGAAGGTCAAGTACGCCGGCATGGGGAAGAGGACAAATCAGGCCGCCAGAATAAGGCCCCGCTGGGCCAATCAGGGGCCGACGGGTCCCGGCCCTCCTTTAACAGCTGGGCGCAAACAAGCCATTTAACGGTTAAACGCTCTCTGCAACCCCGTGCTAATTCCACCCGGCACCGTTCCTTCAGCACTCCCTGCTTTTTTTAACATAATGGGGCTTGTTAAACCTGTGCAACGAACTCAACGGAATAATCAGCGCTTAAAGTTAGACTTTCAACTGAGGAGGATCGAAAGGGTACGAAATCACAGCCACGTCGAGGCTGAGGCCTTTCTGGAGGCGACGTAGCGGTTGGTGTCGCAGACATTCACACCGCTTTCTTGTTTATAAACTGAGCGTAACCCTGAATTGTGGGACGCTTTATAGAAAACACAGAAGTCCCACTGATTCTCTTTTGCAGCCTCTCCTCTTGTCTGGAATATTATGCCAAAGCGGGAAATATTCAGGTGGGAGGAGGAAAAAAAGAAAAATACTAAAAAACAAAAGCCAAGATCACGAATACAAGCTGTTTGGTAACACTCGGGCCACCCAGAGTGCATGATGGGAAGCCCAGGTCGCTGACTCCTCTCCTGGCTGCAAACAGACACCAAAGGCTCCTTCACTTCCATCTAGCTGCGAGAAATTTCACGCAGCCGCCGCCAGAGCAAACACCGGGGAGGGACGACTCAGTGGAAACGCCACCGCAACGCTCTCAGTCGCTATGGCCGCCATCGCAGTCAAGCGCTTTCCATCGACTGCCTGCAGTTGTACTGCGGCCCTCCTTCAGACGGGGGAGAGAACTATCAAAAGATGGTTATTAAGAACTCTTGACGGGGGAGTGTGCGGCGTTTGCGTCTGGCAGCGGCGACGGCACATTGCACCTTTTGCTCAGAGGACGAAAGCCGCACGTGAGCAGATCTCAAATCAGTCCTTCCGTCGCCTTCCAACCTCCTGAATCACTGCGCATTCAAACACACACACACACACACACACACACTTCCCGAGCCGGCCGTAAGTCTTCAGCGCTTGCTTACCCAAAAAACTCAGACACAGATGGAGATACACACAGCAATAGATTAGAAACAGACACACACACACACACACACACACACACACACTGCTGAGCATGCAGCTGCGGTGATGTAAGTGATTAGGTGGTTCAGTGATATCATCCCCAACCGACGTTTCAAATCCTTGCTGTGGTGGTCCTGCCGAGGTCCAACTTGGCCTCTCCATTTTCAGCCCCCCCTCCTCTTCCTCCCCTCCTCCCTCCTCCTCCCCCCCCTCCTCCTCCCTCCTCCTCCCCTCCTCCCTCCTCCTCCCCCCCCTCCTCCTCCCTCACCTCCAGACCGTCAAATAACTCCTAGCAAACAGGAGCATGTGTGTAAATCTGGGTCACTGGCTGCAGATCGGTGTCAGCGTGGCAGATCTCTGCGTGTAGTAAAGCAGACAAAGACAAATGATCTGAGAGCACGAGGAGTCAAGTATGAGGGCGTTAAATATTGCTTTATCTTCTCCTCTGCGGCCCCGTGTGTTTAACAAAGAGGACCCCTGTCGACTCCCGTACGCTCGAGTAGGCCTCTATAAATTATTGCCCCCACTATTTTGCTACAGCTGAGATGTAATCTTATGAATAAATTGGAAGGGGGGGGGGGGTCTCCAATGCAGCTACATATTTCTGATTCCCTTTAGTCAGAAAGCAGAGGTTGATGTTATTTGGCGCAAAAGGAGTGTTGATAAATAACAGAGTTCGCCCAACTTTTTTCTTATTGTCTTGAAACACTTCACATTTAAAAAGTCTGTCTCAACGGTTACTCAAAGCCCGACATCCAAAGCGCTGCAGAGGCCAACGCACGCCTTCAGAGTACATCTTGAGTCCATCCTGCTGCAACGTATCATTGCATCTCTCCATTCTCACTCCTCCTCTTCCTCTGCCTCGCCTCCTCCCACACCTCTCACCTTCCACCCCCCCCTTCCCTCTCCTCCTGCAGTACCTTTCCCACCCTCCTCGTCCCCTATACCGCCCCTCCCCACATCACATTTCCTCCCACCTTTGCCGGCAAGCCAACCTGCAGCGCTCTCCCAGCTCAGGTTAATGACAGGCCTCTGCAAACTGACCACACTCATTATCAGCCTCAGCCTTAAGTACAGGCCCTGACATTCTTCTGTGCTGAGGTGTAAACGTCTACCTCTGCAACTCCTCCGTCCTGCACACACACACACTCTCCTGCAGCACTGCAGGGTATGGAGAAACACTTTGTGTGCATGAGTTATAGGGAGAGACAACCCTAACCAGACGTTTGGAGACAGCGTGCTGGAGGTCTTAGATGTGTGTGTGTGTGTGTGTGTGTAGTAGGAGGATTTCTCCAAATGCACCTCGAGATGTGAAGAGCTTGCACGTGTGGTTCATCAAAACACACGCACACACACACACACACACACACACACAGTGTCCTCTGAAATGCAAATGTGAGCAATGTGTATAGACAGTATAGAATGCATCTCATTAGAGAAACACCAAAGAGGCTCCAAGAGGACGAATTTGTCCAAAAAAGGCCACAGGGAACAGGTGTGACGGACAGCAGCAGCCGTAAAACCGTCAGTCAGCAGAAAGAACAGAGGCAAGTCCGCCAGAATTCTCTTAAAATGCTCTTTTCATCCCAAACAAACCTCCCGCGGTCCCGTTTGAATGTGTCCTGTGACGACGGAGAGAAGCAGCGGGACACAGAAGAAGCGCGCGGTTGATTCGTTTGTCCTTCGCGGCTACTTTACCTTGTGACTTCGCCGTGTCCCCCCCCCCCCCTGCCCTCCCCCCTTCAGTCGGCTTCCTCCGCTCGCGGACACCTTCCCCGGTAATTCGTCGCGATCCGGCTCATAACTTCCTCTCCGCTCCGCGCGCTCACTCCTCATTCATTTCCCCGGCGCGCTGAGTCCCGGTCCTGGTGTCCCGGTGTCCCGGTGTCCTGGTGTCCCCGGTGTCCCCGGGGGGGTCTCGGTCCCGCGGCTGCTGCTGAGCTGCTGGTTCGTCGCTGTGTCTGCGGAGCGCAGACTTCGCCCTGAGCTCCATTCAACAGACTCATCCCATATTCCTTTAAAGGGCCCAATGCGGGATCGGGTTTCTGCAGGAGTCGGGCCCCCCCTCGTGTGCAGGGGCCTGTCAGGATATTGCATTAAGGCTGCCCCCGGGTTTTTTTCTTTTTCTTTTTCTTTTTAGGATGTAAACACAGTCTTGTGAGGAGGGGAAACGGGGGGTTGCTTGTAGCTTTAAACCAAATAACCCCAGTTGGCTTTGTGTTTAATATTCTCGGAGGCTACTATTTCATTCCTGTGAACTATTTAGCACATTCCGGCACAAAAATGTACAGCCCTTCCTTTTTATCTTCTATCTTTTGTGTTTTTATCGTAGGAATTTCATATTATGTCTCTTGCCTTGTGCATCGTAGAATATTTATTATTGCACTAAAACCACAATAAATGTATCTGAAAAAACTGTAAAAATACAGTGTTGTATTTTGACTTATTTTAAAAACGGTTAAATGAGTTAACAGTTCTGCTCGTATTTATACTGTTTATAGTGTTTATGCTGATGTGAAGCAGAGAGAACCTTCACTACTGTATGTTTCCCGTCTGTGTTCAACAATAACAACTATACTAATATCAACAAATACAACCATGGGTCAATATTTTCATATTAGCGTGTGTTACCAACGGCAGTATGCTGTCATCTTAACACTGACAACATACTGATTTTTAGTACTTTGTTTAGTAACTTTAGCTACTTGATACAAAGGAGACAGGAACGTCAGTGGAGTTTCTGACCTGATGAAATGACCTGAATCCTGATGATGGAATGAATGTCCGTACAAAATGTCACAGCCTCATGCGGTAATGTGAAGGATTTACACAATTTGTCTGTAAAACATTTCATAGAAATCCAACAGTACTTTACTCCATTAGAGGAAATCAATGAAAGTGAAGGAACAATTGGCAAAACTCATTTTGGAGTGGATGAGGTTTATAAGTAGTCGAATTTGAAGCAATCTGTGTATTACCTCTGATTAAATATGGAGACCACCATGCGGGGGTGTTGAGAGGCCCAACTTTTGGGTTTTAAGTAGCCTAATTACAGTTTGTTTGTTTACATGCCGGGCTTGCAGGTTGCGCTTTACTGGAATCAAAAGTTGTTAAACTTAAAGCGTGGAGCTTTGCAACTGCAACGAATCGTCATCTGGGTGGTAAAATAATT